TTCCTTCCTTCCTTCCTTCCTTCCTTCCTTCCTTCCTTCCTTCCTTCTTTGTGGTTAGAATGCAGTATTGCAAGCTAATTCTGCCCACTGCCAGCAGTTTGATCCTGACCAACTGGCTCAAGGTTGATTCAGCTTTCTGTCCTTCCGAGGTGGGTCGAAAGAGGACCCAGATTGTTGAGGGCAATAGGCTGACTCTGCAAACCGCTTAGAGAGGGATGTAAAAGCACGTTGAAACGGTATACAAACCTAAGAGCTGTCGCTATTAATAACCACAGGGATTCACTTAGCAATGGTGTCAAGAAAAGTCGTAAGACGAGGCAAAGTTCACTCAGCAAAGTGTTTTGTTTAGCAGCAGATACATTGGGCTCCATTGTGGCTGTGAGTCAAGGACTCCCTGTAATAAGTTATGGCAACGTGTGTCTCAGGGAAATTCCATGCAGAGAATCGACTGCCGAAGAGGCTTTCGTTTAATAAGGACTTGATTCGCAATCATGTCAAAAGAAGAGTTAGTAACTTCATTTCTACGACATGCAAATTTGATTCCTTGTTAACCCTGGACAGGTTTGCCTGCTGGGGAAAATGTGCCTTCAGTCCGTGGTTTCTGTGTACGATGCGACCCTCAAAACAAGTTAAATCAGTAACTGAATTAAACGCACTAGCTAAACCACGGTAATTCGTTTTTTTCCACCTCCTCTGAAAATTCACAGGGGGAAAGATATGATACTATCTCTCTCAGGAGCATGCAGGAAAAAAGAAAGAAAGATAAAAAGTCTTGTTTTTCTGGCTGGCTTTTAAAAAAAAACAAAAAAAAAAACAAACCACTGGGTGTGAAAGGAAGAAGAAAATTAATTTCCCCTGTCTGGTGTGCAGAAGCAAAGTGGATTACATATCACACACCTCACACACACACACACACAAACACATCGAAAACAGTCAAACATTTTCACTGAGGCAAATAATTCTCCACTAATTTTTCCGCCACAATACATCTTTTTCATCTTCAAATCGCCCCGAGATTCTTCGATAGGAAATGTAAAATAATCACGGGTTTGATTTAAAGAGCGATTGTTCGCCCAAGTGTTTATATTACAGAGGTGCTTTTTTCCTCTCCTCTCGCTTTTTGTTCTGCCTTGTTGGCAGTTCCCAAATGCTAGTTTTGGAGAGAGAGAAAAAAACGGATTTTAAACCTGCCCCCTTCCCCAGGTAAAATGGCAATTCCCTCTTGCGTGGAATTGACAGAAATTCAGCTGAAGAAAAGCTGGACTCCCCCTTTTTTTTAAAAAAAAAAAAAAAGCCAATTCTCTGCCAGGGGAACTTAAAATTGGGGTGTGTGCCTGGAAACTTGGGGTTAGCAGTCCATAGCGATGTCTGTCTCTCTTTCTCCCCACTCCCTCCTCCTTTCTTTCTCTCCTCCCTCTCTCCTTCCTCTTTCTCTCTTTCTTTCTGTTGTCTTGTGTCTTCTAGTGTTTCCTGTCCGGAGAAAGGAAGTGCGCCTGCCCAGCTCTTCAGCTCCTTCTACCAGGAGAATTCTGCTGCGAGGTTCGCTGCTTTCCTCTCCTGCACTCGTTTTGCGCTTCCTCTTGGCATCGCTTGTTTCCCTGCATTTTGCAGAGAGTGGGGGGCAGGGGGGAGAGGGTGGAAATCCTTTTGCTTTGAAAGCCTTTCGGCACATCTTTCCCTTGTCCGTCAATGCCCGGGTGGCACGAGAGAGCTGGTGGCCGGCATTTTCTTCTCCTTTGTAGGGAATCACCAAAGCTGCACCCTTCTCCCGAAGGTGCCCAATGCATTCCCACGACATTTTGAACAGGGGTGGGCTTCAAAACAAATTTTAGCAACCGGTTCTCTGCATGGTGGCTGGGTGGGCGTGGCCATGATGGGTGTGGCCTAGTCGGCCTCCTGCAACACGGCAGGTGGGGGCATTTTCACTCTCCCGGGGCTCCAGAGTCTTTCCTTCAGGCTCCAGGAGGGTGAAAATGGCCTCCCCCAGACTCCGGAGGCTCTGTGGAACTTCTGAACTTCCAGGAGGCCCATTTTTCACCATCCCCAAGCCTCCACGCGGGCCCTGCCCTTACCTGGGATCCAAAACGTGCCCTGTGGAGACTCGGGAGGGGAGGAATGGGCAGGACCAGCCAGTCGTTCTAATTTAAAAAAAAATTAACTTCCGGTTCGTGCGAACCAGTGTGAACCGCTAGCATCTCACCCCTGCATTTTTGAGCCTGGGGACCGTATTAGCGCGTCTTCTGGGCTTGGGTGGTCCCACGCTTAACAAGCAGGATGATAGGAAGCAACTGGCACAGCCAGAGGGGGGGGGGGAAATAAAACCATCCCAAGGTTAAGCCCAGTCTAAGGAGGTTTGGGGACACGTCCCTGTAGGTCTTTCACCGGCCTGATCAAGCCCGTTGCATGAAGAGAGGTAGTCTTTGGGTTACAACCTCGGTTGAGCCCAACATTTCCGTTGCCAAGTGAAACGTCGGTTTGGCGCGTTTGCCCCATACAGCGACCTTCCTCGCCCCGTTGGTGAAAGGGAATCATCGCACTTGTTCAAAGTTAGGGACGTGGATCCGGATCTCCCCCCATTGGAGTGTGCTTGTCAAAGCGGATCGCACGACCCCAGGATACGGTGACTGTCATAAATGGGAAGCCGTTGCCGAGCGCCTTGACTGTGGATCGTGTGATCGTGAGGATGTTGCAGTGGTCATAGGTGTGAGAAACGGTCCTTCAGTCCCTTTTTTTCAGTGCCACTGTAACTCGGAATGCGCCTGCCCCCCCACGTTCCCTACGCATGCGCATGCAATCCCCACCCACCCATCCCCACCACCCCCTTACCTGCACTGCCCCTCATAGCTGATTTTTGGCCAGTTTGAGTCCTTTTTCTGCCTCCCACAGGCTTCAAGGATGGCTTCTGCAGGCTTCTGCAGGCTGAAAACTAGCCCCGTTTCGTCACTTCCGGTATTTCCGGGAAAACAGGAAGTGATTAAACAGGCTTCATTTTCAGCCTGAAAAGCCTACAGAAGCCTTCCTGAAGCCTCTGGGAGGCCGAAAATCAGCTCTGAGGCGCGTGCATGCCCAATGAGGTAAGTTTGCCTGCAGCTGGTCGGCTGTGATTAAATCCCACAGAAAAGCTGCTAGCCCAGGAGCTAAGAAAAGTAGCATGGCTTGCCATCTCCTTGACAGGCTTGCTTTCTACCTGCAGGGAAGTGGCTAGCAGTGGTGGCTGTTTCCCTTCCGTAACAATCTAGCAAAATTTGAGAGCCTGAACTTCACAGTCCTTTCCGCCCCGTTGGGCTGGGGGTCTTATTTTTAAGATTGGTTTTGTTTGCACACACCGCGACGGACCCTCGCAAGAAAATTGGGAACTTTAGAACGAACGATGGCTGCTGCTTCCTGGTCACTGCGTTTGGTCATCCTGTCTCCGTGTTTTCCCCACCTTCCTCTTCCTCTCTTGCTTCCTTCTCTCCCTCCCTCTGTGAAATGCTCCCTTGTGGTGAATAGCCCTCTCCCAGCCTGCTTTCCGCACCCTTCCTTTGAGCAACTTGGCATTGCGTTGCACCGAGATCGGCAGGCCAAATGATTACAGACTTTCACTCCCCATTCCTCAATTTCCTCTTACCCCCACACTACCTTACATACTTTTGTTCTTCCCACCTCCTGGGTATGTGAAGGGCCCTGTCCTGAGCCAATTAAGGAGAGGGGGAGGAAGAGAGAGAGAGAGAGATAAAAATAAAGAGAGAGAGAGAGGGAGGGAGAGGGGGAGAGAGAGAGAGAGAGAGAAATACACAGATACAGAGAGAGAGAGAAATACACACAGAGAGAGAAAAAGAGAGAGAGATCATCAATAAATAAACCTCCTTTTTCACCCAGAGTCGCTAAAAGGTTGAGGAATTCTAAGTTTATATACCTATAGCGGTACAAATCTTTTTCTCATTGGGACTGGAAGCAGATTGTGCTTTGGTGGGCTCTAAAATCCTGAGAACTAAAGCTGGTTGCTCTGACGTGTTGACTATATCAAATCAAAGTCCTTATAGGAAATGCATAAGCCTACCCCCAAGATGGAACAATAGTTATTTCAGGGACCCAGGAATAAATGTTGGTGCCTACTAGGTAGTTCTAAATCATACTTGCTGCTGTGCTGGAGAGCAATAATTAATATTTGTAGAGGAAAAGGAAAAAGAACATGATTGATACAAATGGGATCTAGTTTGGTCTAATGGTTAAAGACCTTCAGTTCCAGCCCCTTCTTAGGTTTGAAAGCTGCCCGGGCCAATCACCAGGAGACGGTGATTTCTAGTCCTGCCGTAAACATGAAAGCAGGTTGGAAGACTTTAGGCCAGTTATTCTCTCTCCGCCTGGCCGGAGTCAGCACACAACTCCCAGATGGCCCCACATCTGTGTCAGATGCAAATCCTTCGTTGGAGTCCTCCCCAGACTCCCTGACTGGTCCTCGTTCTTCACCACTGTCCAAATTCCGCTGCCGTCTGAACTGGCTGTCGTCGAACCACAACAGGGGAATTCCCTTGCCTTGAGACGTGTCTTGCCTGGTTTGGGTAACAGAGCGACCTGCTAAGGCCTCTGTTCCTGATCCTTTCGCCCAAATGGTTGGGGAGAGAGATGGAGGTTGAAGGTTCTGTCCAGCTCCCTGCTTCTTTAACCATTCGACCCGCTTTCCTGCTCTTCCGATTCAGATCTGGCCAAGCCGAGCCCCTGCCTGAGCGTCGAGTGCCAGTTTGGAGCCACCTGCGTGGTGAAGAACCAGGAGGCCATTTGCGAGTGCCAACAAGTGTGCCAGAGCATCTACGATCCGGTCTGCGGCAGCGACAACCTCACCTACAGCAACCCTTGCGAGCTGGACGCCATGGCGTGTGCCCTCCGGAAGGAGATCCGCATGAAACACAAGGGCCCTTGCGGTGAGCCGTTAGATCCCCTGCTGCCTGAAATAGGAGAGAAAATAGGAAAAGAATGGAAAATAGGAAAGAATGAACAATTATCCTTGGGGGAGGGCTCTGAAAAGCGACACCCCAGCTTTTAGCCTAATTTCACATTCTTACTTCTGAGAGATTTAGAGGGGAAACACAGTGACATTCCAAACTCGGTTAAAGATTCAGATAGGCTGCTCCTATTGTTGGGAGCTCTGCTATCTGAGTGGGATCAGAAGAGTGATAAGTGAAGGAAGCCCAACCAGGGCAAAATTGGTGGTGTTGTGGCCTGTTGGCCGCCGGCCTCTCCAGCAGCCAAATCAGAGGAGGAGGCGTGGGAGTCAGGATCAGCATCAAGGCAACCTGGGAGCTCCGGCGGGGGGGGCGGGGGGAGAGGGAATGGAGCTGGCAGAGAGAGGGAGGGAGAGCACCTGGACCGTCCGTCAGCCCCCAGGTGGCTGATGAGGAAGAGGAGGAACAGTTGGGAACAGTGCAGAAGGCAGAGGAGAGGAGAGCAGTGGAAATCTATGGGCTGGTCCTTGGGACGGAAGAGTCACCACTGCTAGTAAAGCCCTGGGGAGAAAAGGCAGGGGGTGGAGATAAATAGATGTGGCAGACAACTATTCATTTCCCGGCCGGACAGACTTGTAAACCAGGATGGCAAAGCAAACAGGCCTTCCAAAGCCAAAAGCACTTGCTGGAACGTGGCACTGAATACAATCCCAGCCATCCCGAGTCGATGGTCCTCTATTTTTCAACAAAGCAGCGGTTCTTTTAGGGAGCCCTCAAAAGTCGAAAATTGATTAAAATATTTAAACATCTCTCCTTTCTAATGTCTCGTGCAGTAAAATAACCTGTCTCAACCTGAGCTCTTGGGGTCTGTTTTTCCGAGCATCCCAAACTTGAGGTCTACTGCGGTCTCAAAAAATTGGCCTAGATGCCGTAGCTTCTTAACCCCAATTAACCGCCCATTGTGGGTCAGGCCTCTGGTGCCGGGGAGGTTGGGTGGAGGAGCTTGATTTGAGGGTCACCTCTGGGCCCCAAAGCTCCCATTTCAAATCCCCACTCATCTAGCAGCCGCAGCCTCTCCTGGCCTCGCTCCAGGCCTTCACAAACCTCCACTTAAAAAATTATTATGAAAGATTCAACCGAGCGTCGGACCATTCCCACCGGCTGTATTACAAACAGAGAGGGATGTGTAAGCATTTCGCTTCAGAAACTTTACCCCAGAATCCCCTGCTGTCGAAGGAGCTTGCAATCTTGAATCCAGTGTAATGGGGAGGGAGAACCGGAGAGGTAATGGGGAGGGGAAAGAGAACCCAGAGATGTGGAGAAGAGTGTTGTGGCCTGCCAGCAGCCAGCATAGCTGGAGGCAGACTTGGACCGTGAGGAGGTTGGGGAGGAACATGGGCCAGTCCTGGAGTCTGGGGAAGGCTCTGACGAGGGATCTGCCAGGCAGGGACGGGGCCGTCTGACAGTTATCAGCTGTCTTCGGAGTTGGACATCAGTGGGGAAGAAGAGCAGCTGGAGCCTGTTCCCAGTGTGCGCATGCACAGAGCTGCCAGAAGAAGGGAACAGTTAAGGAACAAGAATCGACTTGGCACTAAAGACTCAGGTGGATGGTGAATGGCCCCTCCCATAAGGAATAAAGAGGAGCAAAAGGGGAATGGGGTTTGCAGGAGACAATTAGTTCGTTTAATTAGTGTGAAGATCTATTCCTGACTTCTTGCCAAGTCATTGCTGCTACAGCGTAGCGTTTGGAAGCTATCAGCCTGGCAACTCTCCCAGCCTGATAAAGGTCTGTAGTTGTGAAATCTCATAAAAGACTGTTTGCCGGGACTTTTCTGGAGAGGGAATTCACTTTAACCTTAAATAAAAGGGGTTTTTTCTCGGGACGAGGAGTCGGCTTTGTGATCTCGGGAAGTCTCGGTCAGAACAAGAGAGGTTCATTTCAATTTCTTGTTCTTATGCCTGCTCGGAGGAGAAGGTGGGGGCTTCCCTCCCAAGAAGGTGCGTTGATTTGGCATGTGCCCCCCCCACCTCCTCCCCTTCCTTCTGCCGAGCTGTCTTGAGGACTGGAAACCTGACCCTTCCTTCGGGGCGGCTGGGGCTTAATTCTCCAGGGGCTTCTTCTGCATGTTTGAAAGAAGGCCAGAGTGGGTGATTTGATGCTGCCTTGGAAGGGGGAAGAAATTACAGCTCAACGGAAGCGCACCGCTCTCCGGGCGTGTCAAGTCAGACAATCTGGTACATGGGAACTGGGAATTTCTTCCCCAGCGAGACTTTGGGGTTTTGTTTTTTTTTTTGTAAAACAATAAATAAATAACAATCCAAGCACGTAGCGCCTGTCAAAGGGGAACGTAGCTGCGCTTGCTTTTAGCAGGTTGCCGAAGGGTTTTTTTTTTTTCAAAACTCTTTGCCTAACGCTCGGCTGTGCTTTCAAATTGCTGGGATTTATTTTTAGTGTGTTTTGTTTGTGGTTTTACTCTGATCATTTTATTGCACTTCATACTTCTGTTGCTGTTGTTATGAATTGCCTTGGGACCTGGAATTGACAGATTGAACAGGAGAGAAACTCTTTTCTCTTTCCCGTCCTGTATGGTAGTTTAAAAAAAATCTTCTTCGGCCCTCCTTTCCTTCCTTCCTTCCTTTCTCCCTCCCTC